TATATATATAGGCTACTTATCTAGGTTACTTAGAAAAACTCATACACATGAGATGCGCTAGAATACCTTTGAATGCATGTGAAAAAAAAAAGTAAAGAAAGCCACGGGCCGTTGTTCGTCTAGGTGTTCGTTCTAATGCCCGCCATAATCCTCGCGATGGCACAGAAGCTCCAAGCTTTCTTCCGACGAATTACCATTAGTCTCTTTCAACGTCATCAATTTTTCTCGACCTCCACCGATTCTTCTCCCATTCGCACCGAAACTAATCTCATTGCTTCCAATTCAAATGAGGTTGAATCTGCCATTCGTTCCCTCAAGAGAAAGCTCCACCCTGATGACCTAGTGAGAGTTCTGGATTCCGTTTCGGATGTGCCTTCAGATATTGCCATTTTCCGGTGGTCTTCTCGCCAGAGAAACTTCCAGCATACCGCGCAAAATTTTGTTCACATGATCTGGAGGCTTGGCGTGTCCGGGAACAGTGAAAATATGGAGGTCTTGTTGAAGGATATGATAAAGTTTGACTTCTTGGATGTGAATTCATCTTTTGAATTCTTGGTTGAATCCTTCTGTACAAGTCAGAGGACAAGAGAAGCGCTGAAAGTGTTTGAAATTGCACGGTCAGCTAATTTAAGGTTATCGGTGTCGACTTGCAATCTTTTGCTCCGCGTCCTTGTCTCAAAAAGTGATAACTTTGGCTCAGTTATGTTTGTTTACAAGGAAATGGTGAAGGCTGAAATTCTTCCTGATGTTGACACCTTGAATTATGTAATAAAAGGTCTGTGTGAGACAGGTCGGCTGGATTCTGCACTAATCCAATTTTCGAGAATGAAACAGAAGCATTGCAGTCCAAATAGTTGGACCTTTGAGTTAATCATTGCTAGTCTTTGCTCTGGCGGAAGAATAGATGAAGCTGTTGAGATTTGGAACACGATGCTTCAGTTTAAATGCAGTCCAGATCGTGAGTTTTATGCAAGAATTATACCATTGTTTTGTGGTGCTAATAGAATGGATGAAAGTATTAAGTTGTTTAAGATGATGAAAGATGACGGGAATTCACCTGATCTGTATGTATACAGTGCTTTGATTGACTGTTTGTCTGAAAATCTACAGCTTAAAGACGCAGTTGAAATGCTTGTTGAAATGAATCTCTTGGGGATTGCTCCCAGTGCCAGCAGTTATGTGCATATTGTAAATGGATATTGCATGTTAGGAAATTTGCATGAAGCAATGGAATTTCTTAATGGAAATAACAATTGTCCAGTTGAACCTTACAATGTATTGCTGAGCAGTTTTTGTGATATGGATAGATTATCAGAGGGGATCGATCTTCTTGTAGAGATGCTTGAAAAAAGAGTTGCTGATGGAATTTCATGGAATATTATCGTTTATGGGTTTTGTAAGAAAGGGGATGTTAGAAAAGCATTTGAAGTTATATGTAGGATGATTGTCTTTTCTAATATGCCAGACAATGTAACTTACTCTTCTCTTTTAACTGGATACTGTCGGAATGCTGAATTTGAAAAAGCTTTCAATATCTTCAAGCAGGAATCGGTTCAGGCCATGTATTTGGATTTGACGTCTTGCTCTGAGTTGATTGAGGGACTTTGCCATGTCAAGAAGATTCAAGAGGCTGCTGAGGTTTTTTATCATATTGTTTCTAGGGGCTGTTCTCCCAGTATAAATTCTCTCAACATATTAATCAATGATATTTGTGATATGGGAAAGGTGGATGAGGCTATAAAAGTTCGCTTACTTGCATCATGTAATGGTAGTTGCTTAAATTCTTCAACATACAGACCAATTATGATTCAATTGTTGGAATTAAACAAAGAGAGATACATCTTACCAGTCCTTGCACAAATGTTTGTTGATGGCTGTACTGTAGACCTGACAACGTACTGTATTCTCATTCATGGATTGTGTATGAGAGGCAGAAGTAGGGTTGCTACTGATTTGTTCAATCAAATGGTTGATGATGGTCTCATTCCTTCATCTGAAAAACTTGAGAGGCTAATTGAAGATTTTGCAAAATGTTCCACCTTGAATTTGGTGGCTCATAGTTTGGAAAAGCTAATTGAAGCTGGAGTTATGCTTGGCCCGTTAATTTGTAATTTAATTATCTCTAGCCTACTGAAAGATGGTCAAAAGTCTGCGGCTTGTAAGTTTTTGGACTGGACGCTAGGGAGAGGTTGGGTGCCTGATCCAGACACTCATGGTTTGTTGATTGGTAACAGTGATTCAGAAACAAGAATTGGAACCATGAGAGTATATGATGTTGATACTGACAGGGTCAGAAATATACTGGCCGAGGGCCTTAAAAATTATGCTTAGCGTTTGTCACGTTAAGTGCTTAAAGTAGAGATAGCACAACATGATGAGTGATCATCTAGGAAAATATTTACGACGTCAATGATTTCATTTTCTTTGATGTTTTCCATTGTTGAAGCCAAAAATGATTTACAGGACTAAAGTATCCATGGGTTACGACAGGTACCACTCTAAACTCCAGAACCGTCATAAGCTTTAGCTAGTTAATATTCTGACTCTGATATTTTTGCTTCTACTTTCAAACATTTTGCATTTTGTTTCAAGAATCTTGTTTACATTCTTTTACAATGAGGTGTTGAATAGTACATGTTATTTCTAATCCTATAACATTTTATTTTCTTTGGATGGCTTCACTTATGAAAAACTATCTATAATATGTTCAGGATCTACTATATGTCACATCTTATTTTCGACGAAGTTCTCTAGTTTTGTTAGGCATGAAATTGGACATATTTTTCCTAGTAATCCGTATGGCCTTTCTTTGGAGGACTGAAATTGATAACCAAGAAGAATGTTTACATAATTGGCTCGAGCTTCTTATTATTAATACTACCTTGGACGTACGTTGATTGCATGAGGTTATCAAGAAAATATAATATACTGATGGATAGCAATGTTTCATAGGGACATCAGTTGCTTTATTGTGCTTCTATATTTTGAATAGGTTGTAAAAGACTTGCATACCCTCTGTTGTTCAAAGAGCTTGAAAATTCAGTCAGATGGGTAGTGAATTTAATTATTTATTGGTTTTGAAATTGATCCTGTATGCTATAGCCTCTCAATAGTACAAACCCTTTTTTTTTTCATTTGAACAGAAGGCTCTTCTGGTAAAGTTATATATTAGTAGAATGTGTAGATTGTTTTTTTTTTTCATATTGTTGCATTGAGAATCTTGCTTACAGTATTAGCTCTTTTTCCATCATCTAATCTTATAAAATGATTATACAATTGAACATTTCTCAAGAAAAATTGTGATGTTGAAAACAGTTAGCAATTATGCAATTGCTGTAATTGTATTTTCCCCTAGAAATGGAGGTTTGCTTAAAATCAAGGACGGTATGATTAGTTCTATGCACCTGTTTTGCAATAAAGTTGGGCCTTTGGAGGATGTTAAATTTGTGACAGAATCGCAACTTTTCAGATTCTAAGCAACTTAAAGTTATTGTTGACCATAAGGAAGTCGTAGAAGATAGAAAGCATTTATTAATAATCTTTTTGAGGGAGAGAGCATTGTCCTGTTAAAGATTGGCAGGATATTTTGATCCCAAATAGTTGGGACTACTTGGAATAAGGCTAATGATGTTGATAATGTCACACCCCAACACTGGGTCTGGAAAAAAAAAATCACAAGAACCCAATGATAGGGTGCGAGCTGAACTAAATATACAAAATAACTTCAAAGCAATAGAAATATAAAACTATAATAATTTTTCTTTACTAATAAATCGTCAAAGCATCTAAACCCAAAAATATAATAAATGACCACCAAATATAATGAAATTCAACTATACAATTAAATCAATTAGATAACTCTAACCTTAAATACCTATCAAAGATGAGCTTGATGTATGAACCTAGAAGTTCCTCTAGTAACAACACAACTAGCAACTTCAAATTTTGAAGTAATAAGTGTAAGTTTGCAAGAACAAACTTAGTAGGTAAAACCCTACTAAGTAAAACATAAATGTCAAGGTATGGCATAAATATGAGCAAAGAGAGGGATTTAAGTGAAAAATAAACACTAGACTAGAATAGCTTCAAACAATGTATTAGCTATGAGATTTTTGAATATATATTTCATTTGTTAAAGCTTCTTATATAACAAAATTCATAAAGAGCTATATGTGCCAATCAATAATCATTGCATTTGAATGCAAATACAAACATACGATATTTATACATCCATCGATAGCTCATTAGTCATTTATTATTTTTCAAACCCTAATATATATATAGTCAGCGTTACCTTAGCTGACAGAGGGCTTTTTGCCCTATCAATCATATCCTATTGATTCATATCTCAAGGATTTGATGCCAATAAGGAGCGTATTGGCTCTGGCCATAACCGGTATATCGTGGTGCCATTTGGTGGCAAAACCACTCGTTTCAGAGGGCCCCGGGTCGTCATAACCGTTTATCCTGTGGTGCCATTTGGCGGCAAACCGCCGGTTAGACGACACGTTCCACGTCCTTACTGGCAGAAGATTGTTTGAGAAAGGATCATAGTGATATTTTCGACTAGGCATTTAGCTCTTTGTGAGCTGAAGTTGATTTTGATTTGTCCACCCCGACAAACTGTTGTGGAGGGTGGATGAATTTTGCTTTAAGCAATTGATAGATTTATTTCAATTTTAAATATTTTGGTTTTGGTATTTTCTGGAGTTTTGGATTTTGAGTGGACTTTTAGAAAGCATTTGAAAATGCCTGAAATTAACCCCTCCGATTGAGATCTTCAATCAACGCGGTCATCATCGGGGTGTTTGGGGTCATTTTTCTTTATTGATTGAACTCTGTCAACTCAACCAAGCTGTTGATCGAGGATCGGATTTCTTGTAGGCTTTGGGCCTTTGTTAATAAATTCTTTTGATTTTAGGCTTTGAAGGCCTAATATGAATGTATAAAATAAATATTCCGATCACATTCGTGATCGTATATTTACCCGAGAGTTTGAACCCTGTCTACTTCTATTTATCTGCTTAGGAGGATCGGGTTTCGTAGGCTTCATGCCTTTGTTTAGTGAATTCTCTTGATTATAAGCCTTAAAGGCCTAATATGAATGTATTAAAACAAATACACTGGTCGCCACAGCCGTGTATTTGTTTGAAAGTTTGAACCCTGTCGACTCATATATATCCGTATAGAAGGATCGGGTTCGAACTTGAATTCACTTGTCAACCCACGCAGCATCCCTAGACGTCACGTGTGTACCAATAACACGCTTGCCGGGGCCCATGCGGGTATTTGGGAATTTTATTGATTTGACATACCCCTTTGTGTATACAAGCTACGGTGCACGTGCAGGGGTATTTTGAAAGTATTTGTAGAAGCCTTCTATCCGCTTGCATAGAAGTTGCGAATCCAGTGGCGTAGGATTGTAGATTGTAGATGCCTTCTGTTTTCTTGCATAAGTGTTGTAGATCCGGTGGCGTAGGATTGTAGATTGTAGACGCCTTCTGTCTGCTTGCATAAGTGTTGCAGATCCGGTGGCGTAGGATAGTAGATTGTAGATGCCTTCTGTCTGCTTGCATAAGTGTTGCAGATCCGGTGGCATTGCGTTTTGATGTTGAATCCCCCTTTCTCATTCACCGGGGAAGATTTCTTCTGGATTTTGAAGTTTGTTGCTTTGTAGAGAACTCTTTTTAAGATCATCAGTGTAATGGATTTGTTATTTCCGGTGTTTGTGGGCACCAGAACTGTTTTCTTCTTAAGTATAAAACTAAGAAGAGACTTTGGAATACCAGGAAGTTTAGTTCTAATTTGTTCAAACATTTCCTCTCTTCTGCCATGGGGTGTCCTTTTTCATACATCAAGTTGCCCTTGTACCCGACGTACTTGAAGATCTTGATCACCACTGTCGTAGGTGATATCCGTACTTATGCCCACAGTGGTTCGTTGTGCTTTACGAGATGCCCACTGTTGTTATCCACAAGTATTCATTTGCAGGGGACCATTGTATACTCTACACCCTCCTAATAGTATTTGTAGAAGAGCAGTTGTCCCTACACCTTATCCACCTTTCACCAATCTCAGGTGGATTGATGGTTGTACTTGTTCGTGGGGACGGACCTTTTGTTATTAATTGACAGTTTTGCCTTCTTCAATCAACAGGCATTCGTAGGGATTGTCGTAGGAGTTCGCTGCATTTTTTTTGTGAGCATCAGGATTTCATCTCCCACTTGCAACTTGTTGTTAGCTTGGACGACTGTGCACTTAGACTTTGACTGGTTCATTCATCCAAAGTCCCAGTCCTATGTATTCCATCGCTCCCGAGTTCAAGGTTCAACTCACACTCGAGTCTTGTGTGTCGTTACGGGTTCAGCTCATTGCATCCCGTTCAAATTCAGGTCCCTTGAGTTCAGGTCCTTTATTGCTCATATCAAGTTTGGGTCCAACTTGAGTTCAATTTGAGTTCCTTGCTCTCCGCATCTTGTACCAGTTTTGAGTTCGGAATACATGTTCAAGTGCAGTCCTTTGAGTTCAATTGTATGTTTATTTTTTATTCAAAGTCTTCTGGAGCCTTTGCAGATTCATTTTCATGTTAAAATTGACTTGAATCCAGCTTCAATTTGATTTTATTCTTATTTGGATTTGATCTTTTATTAATCATTTGAATTTTGTTCATGTCCCCTGCTCGTGTTCAATCAAGTTCAAAAGTCCACAAGTCACTGTTCATTGGAGTCCAGCTTTTGTTCTTTTGAGTTCAAACAGGTCCGAGTGTGATCGTACATTCACCCGAAATTTCGGCAGCCTCCCGGCGTCTCCCCCGTTTAGGGGAAAATTACGAGAAACTGGGCCTTCTCACCACGCGCAATAAAGGCGTGTATAGTAGGTGTCCTCGGACGAGGACACCGCGGACGTGATCTTTCCTCCCACCACGCATAATAAAGGCGTGTATGGGGTCTTCGGTACATGTTTAAAAAGACAGTTTGTTTTTCCCTCGCTTGGAGGTACTTATGAGTGACCCCGCTTCGTCATAGGTACCGCACCGAGGTCCCATCCCACCATGTGCAATAAAGGCGTATATAGGCGATTTTCCGGTCCGTCACAAACGCTGAAGTAAATTCATTTTATCATATATTATTCATATATAATGAGTAGTAAGAGATACCCCTAATAAGGAAAGATATGCTTATCTCTTACTCATTAAAGAGTCACCTATTAGATTGAAACCAAAAGTAGCCGAACATTTCGATATTGACACAAATCTTTCACGCTTCAACATGTATTGCTCCACAATGTTAGATTCAAAAGAATCTAAATCACTTAGATATTTAATGCTTTACTCAATAATTATTAGCAACCAAAATAATTAAATTTATCATCTTCAACAAATTAATTATTTTTCAAAGAATCAGTTTATCTTTAATACTTTAGGTCTTTACCATTATGGACATATCGGTAACCATAAGTTAACCCTTCTAAGCCTTTTCTTATAATAAATT